TATTGTTCTTTTTTTTTCAATATTTGAAAAATGCAGCATTATTTTAGGTTTGTGAAATTGACAATCTAGCATTTTCCATAAGTGTTACATTGGCTTCAGGTCCCGTAATTGAGATGACCAGCCAAAAGCTCACACATTTAGAAACAGGAAACCACTGTTTTAAGAAGGGACGTGTGTTTGGGATGATTACCTTCTAGAAATTTCCGATTCTGCAGGTTGTTTTTTCAGCATATAATAAAAAAAATTTCTAAAATTTCTTTTTAAATAGAAGCCACCATATTTCTGTTGATCTCAACCAAGAGACTAATTCCTTATTCAGAGAAATTTCCCTAAACCATTACACTTACTCTACTGTGTTTTGAAACTTGGTAACTATTGTCATTTCTCATGCCAATATGATGTTGTAAATGTTGTTTACCATTGTCTCCAGAAAGATTTAATTAAAATTCATCTGAGAAACTTTTTTCTAAGCATTGCTCATTTTAGGTGAACTTCAGCAAATTGTAATTGATACTTGATACTAGTGAAGCAATACACCAGTTCGAGCCGCGTTACGGAGAATTAAAAGAAAAGACTGGATCGAGTTTATAAGAAAAACAAATCAAGTCGTTAAATTTAATTCTTGAGTAAACGAAATATAAACAAACGACTAAAACAAATCCTATCACTATTAAAACAAATATAGAATATATACAAATCAAAATGGATTATGATGCAGTGTGTAGTATGAAGGTTGAAGAACTGAAGTCTTAATTACGTCTTCGTGGCTTGAAAATCTGGAAAGAAAGAAATTCTTGCAGCTCGAGTCTATTGTGCAATGGAAAACAATGTTATGCCTATTAAAACAGCTGAAGAGGTGGATCATGATATACTTACTGAGTACAAAAGAAAACTTTTTATAAACGGTGTTAAACTACCTGATCCTTTTTTAGCGTAGTAATGGTTGGTTATCAGAAGATGAAGGTCTAACTTGTTGGCCAACATTGTTATATCCTAATATTTACAATTATTTGTTATTTAACCCTACTGAAATTGCAAGTTAAGACTTAAGTGACTACAAAAGGTGTAAAGCTTAAAGTTATTTTAAATGTGGCTGGCTTGAACCTTTATTTTACCATCAAATAGGAATAGAGAGTGAATATTGCTATATAAAAGGGAACTGTAGGAAATCTGAAAAAATTAATGATCCCTTTCACAAGCTATGGATTATTATTAATAAAAAAACTGCTAAAATAATTTCAGCACATTGTACTGTCTAGCTGGTCTATTGCAGACATGTAATCATGTTGCTGCAAGCCTCTTTCGAATAGAGGCTGCTGTTAAAAATGGTTTGACAAATGTAGCTTGTACTAGTTCAAAATCAGAGTGGCTTCCAAGTCGTAGCATAGTAGCACCAACAAAAATATGTGACTTAAAATTTGATCGTGATGAATTTGGTCAGCGTGGAAGAAAAAAGCGTTCACTAATATTAAATGAAAAGCGTAATTACAGCCCATTAGTGTGATATAAAGCTTTTAAATTTAACAGACATAGTAAAAGCAATCGAAACTGTTGCTCCTCATAGCATTATAACTTCTGCTGTACCTAAACCTGAAATTTATTATATGGAAGAATTAATCTTGTTTGGAAATGTTACCAAACCTACAATTTTGACCATGGATGATATTACTGTTATGTCAGACAATAAATTTTCTTTTTGTGAAAATATAAAAACAAATATGACTCAAAAAATAATTACTGACATAGAGCGTCTGACTATGGGTCAAAACACAAATAAGCTTTGGTTTAATTTTTTGATAGCGAGTTATAACTGCTTCAAAAGCTCACGATGTTCTAAAAAAAATAATATGGGCATTAAAGTTGACATGTGGTTATTACACCAAAGTATTTTAGGGTTAACTTTTGTGAACCCAGATATACCTGCATTAAAGTACGGGAGAGCGATGGAAGTTAAAGCAGCATGCCAGTTTTTTGAAGTTATGAAATCCTTTCATTAAAATTTAACTGTTAATGAATGTGGATTATTTTTAGATGTAAATGTAAACTTACTATTGTTTGCAAGTTGTACTGAACCCCACTTAGAGTCCTCTGGTCCCAGTGTCAATTTAGGAGTCTGTGGCAGTCTTCCTGACTGGATACTCTGAGAATAGTCCTTTTGGGATAACACAATGGGATACCTTTAAAAAGATACCCTGGTGTAGACCCAGAGTGGAACTTCTTTTGGGATGCCAGTTTCGGATGACAGCTGGAGGTCTTTATGCGTTCACACTGCGCCATAGGGCTCGAATCCATACTGTACTCGAGACGTTCATGACACTTACATCTATAATAAATGTTTATCACCCTAAGAATACAAACCACACGATGACTACTTATAAAACGAATAATTCTACTTCATTACCAATTCTATCTACAAATCACATTTACGCTGGTCTCCAACAACAATTTAATAACACTACAACTAATGACTTTCATTGACTGTTGTTTATTATTCTTATTTACTTTTTACTACACTTTACACATATTAGTTTTTAATATTTTTCCACTTTGAGGCTCTTTGTTTTCCTCTGGACATCTGTCCTTTTGTACTTTTATCTCACTCTGCTAAATTCTTTTTAACTTATTATTCATCCCTAAGGCGTACACTGCTCGGTGCAGCTTCACTAAAATGCATTGCATTTACAAAAATTTTTTATTAATTTAGAATGAATAAAAATTTCTCTAGTATATGTAATAATGCTAAAACAAAAATATATAATGAATATATACATGCAAACATACATATATATATATGTATATCACAATAATTTTGCAATGCTTAACCCCTATGTTTAAATCCTAATTTAACAGAAAATTTATTTTTAAAAATGTATGAAAATTATAACAATGTTTATAATTAACACATTAATTATATAAATTATAATCACGTAAGAATAAAATTTAAAAATAAATAACAAAAATTTAAATCTCTTTCTTAAGCCATCTTAAGGTCATAAAGTACATAAACATAAATTTAAAAATTTTGAACTTTCTTCAAAATTTTTAAATTTATGTTTATTTCGATGTCACATTTGACCACTTTGAAAATTCATATTAGCCTTTCAAATAACCAAACGTTGAATTATTGTACATTAATATTAACTCAAATCATCTACCACAAATTTTAAAACAAATCCCAATTTCAATTAATAACAGGTTAAACCAAAACTCCTCAAATGAAAACGTATTTAATTCCTTCAAACGAATATTTGAAGATGCCCTTAAAAAAAGCGGTTTTGAAAATTTTGAACTAAAATTTGACCCTGAAAAAAAGAACAAAAAAGCGGAGTAGTACCAGAAATATAATTTGGTTTAACCCCCCATATAGCAAAAATGTTTCCACTAACAGAGGGAAAATATTTTTATAATTGGTCGATAAGCATTTTCCTCCCTCAATAATCAATTACATAAAATTTTTAATCGAAATACAATTAAAGTTAGCTACAGTTGCACAAAAAATATGGAAAGAATTATAAAAAGTCACAATAATGCTTTGTTTAATATAAAAGAAATCCTAAATAAAAAATTTACAGAAAATTGTAATTGTAAATAAAAAAATAATTGTGCAATGAGTGGAAGTTGTTTATCAAAAAATGTGGTATATAAATGTATTGCTTCCTCTAAGAATGTACCCAATAAACAATACATTGGCATAACAGAGAGTGAATGGAAAAAACGTTTCGCCAATAAAAAGCAATCTTTTAAAAATAAAAAGTATTCAAAAGACACCATGCTGTCAAATATATATAGAAACTAAAAGATAAAAATATTGGTGATTTTATACTGATTTGGTCCATCCTCAAAACAGCGCCTGCATACAACAATATTACTAAAAAACGCATACTATGTCTACAAGAAAAATTTGAAATAATTACACATGCAAACCAAGAATTTTTGTTAAACAAAAAATCGGAATTGATTTCTAGATGCAGGCACGAAAATAAGTTTCTCCTAAAAAAGTATAAAAATAAGTGAGCTCAAATAATAATTACATTAAATCCCCCTTTTTAAAAATATTTTAAAAAAAAAACATAAGTAATCATTTCTAAATAATTCTTTTTATAATAGTAATAAGCAAATTCTATAAATGTGTAAAAATTTACAGTAGTTAAAATATTTGCGACTTCCTGAAATTTAATTTATTGGTATAAATTGAAGTTTTATTAATTTGATCATTCATTTCTGATGAGTCTTTATTGATGAAAAACAGTGTAAAATGAAAAAAATTTTCAAGTGATTTTCTACTAATTTATAATTGCTCTGTTCTTTACGAACATTGAGCACTCTATTTTGTAGAAGTGTTATTTTGTTAAAATTGTTTAAATATATATATATATATATATATATATATAATATATATATATATATATATATATATATATATACATATATATATATATATATATATATATATATATATATATATATATGCATATAAAACAGAAATTCTGATAAAATCATCTAAATTCGTTTCCTAGATTGAAGGAACATCCGATTTGGGTATAAAGCAACTGATGTAAACAATATACATAAAAAATATTAACAGGAAAATGGATTTGAATATTAATAATTCTACTACAGCGCCCAAACCTAAAGAACTATACCTTATTTATTGTCATTTTCACCTAAATTTAGAATAGTCCTATAAATTTTTATAGAGTTCAAGTGCACTATATTTTATGAGCTTCACACAAACTAATTAAGAATTTACATAATTCAACTTTAATAAATAATATAATTATTTTAAATCAGATGATGAAAATTAAATATTAAAAAAATCAAATTTTGAAAAAAATGATATCCTTGGTTAATTGCTTCTTGACAATCTTGGAATAATTTTAAAAGAAAATGTTAACTTGAAGCTTTTATTCCAAAAATTAAGATACTTGTTTATGTAATTCTGGTCATTATGACATGATTATGATATCAACACTTATTGCTCTATGAAAAATATAAAAAACCTGAAAAATAACATGGGATCGAGATGATAGCTGATTGGCATCAGCTGGATGCTGTGATCTGTTCTGATTTCCAAAATGCAGCATTTCAAGTTACTCTTCGGCACTGCGTGGCTAGAAAACAATATAATAGTTAAATAAGTAATACATAGTTTAAATAAATAATATAGCAAGCAAACATAAAGTATTAAAGAACAAACGTGTAGAAAAATATAACACTATAAAAAAAATATTTAAAAAAAACTACAATATTTAAAACTATGAAAATATATAAAAGTAACATAAAAAAAAAAAAACATAAAATATACCTTTACAATAAAAATTAAAGATCAACTCAAAAAAAAAACCTAGTGTTGAAAGACAGAGTAAAATAATTTTTTTTTGGAGCAAAAAATATTTAAAAAATGATACACGACACTGACAAATAATACATGGCACACGAAAAATGACACTGACAATTGAAAAATGACACATGAGAAATGACACTAACATGCACATACTAAAACCAAAACCAGAATCTATAATATTTCAACTCGTTTAACTAACTACAAATACTAATTAAATAACAATAAGTATCTAAATATTTATTTTGTTTTATCCTGTGACTTTTTTAAAAAACTTATTTCTGTTGCAGTGCTATTTATTGCTATACAAAACCAGTTGGAAAATATTTTTAAGTCTCACCTCGCCAAAACTAGTACTACCAAAGGAGTTGAAAACTCAAAACTTCTTGTTCATGAAGTCAGCGTTCTGCCACTTCAACACAACTGTATTTCATACACTATTATTTACACATGCGCAATTCTTTGTTTTATTCTTCATTTAATAAATAGAAAAATATAATCCTTAAATGAGCAGATATGGATGGCTTTTATACAATTCAAAAATTTATAAAATCTCAAAAACAAATGAAATCTTTCTTAGAAAAAGAAGGAATAGTTGAAAATAGAATCTACAATAAAAATTTATACCTTATTCTTTAAGGCTTAAACTGTAAGAAGCTTAAAGAAAAACTTTAAAGAGATGACCTTACAACAACGCTGTCGAAAATGGTCGAGAATAGCCTCTGACTAATAATGCAATTATCAACCACTAACATCAAGTAACATTTAAGCAACGTAGTTAACAGTAACTTAGTTAACAGGCTCTAAGATACGTCCCAAATTATCCCTCAAGTAACTTAGTTAACAGGCTCTAAGATACGTCCCAAATTATCCCTTTAGAGCCCCGTATAGCAGATCTGCTACAAACTTTTTATTAGCCTGGGATTTGAGAATGGCTTATCATGGCTTATTCATGTCAAAAATGCCCATTGTGGCATATTTGCGACTTGCTTACGTTACGTTATTAATTTGAATATTATTAGTTTGTGTTATCAAGGCAAACACCAACACTCAAATCTTACTTTTGAAAAATTGCGGTTTTGTCTGTAATGTGGCTCCAAATTACTTTCTTTTATATAATAGTATGAGAGTTAAGATATAAAATAAATGTTTCTTTTAATATTAAAAAGGTTAAAAATGGTTTTGGAAGTGTTTATTTTAGTTTTTATAGTTTTAAATGAATAAAATATCTTGCTTATGTTGTATGTAGCAGATATGCTACAATGGGTTATTTTATGCATAATAACTTTTTTTTTAACTTATAATTATTTTTAGATGTATAAAAACAAAAATTATAATATAGAAGAGGCTCTTGCTTATATTCTTAATGGGGACAGTGACTTTGAAGACTTAAATGACTCAGATTCGGATTATGAGCCTGAAAATATCAAAAAGGCAGTAGATAATGTTGGTTTTTGTGATGTAGGACCTATACAGCAACATAATGTTAATTGTGAAGAAGAGAACATCATTCATGGTAATAGTAGTGATGATGGTGACCAATTTTTGTCTTATATGGTAAATAAGAACAAACCAGTAAAACAACTTTGGAAAAAAGTTGACTTACATGTCAATGATACAGAATTTCGGGAGGTATTACCACAACCCACACCTAATGACAGGACTACTCCTTACCAGTACTTCAAAATGTTTGTCACGGATAAGCTTCTTAAAACAGTCACAGAGCAAAGCAATTTATACAGCACTGTACTGGTTCAAGTAATAATGCAACACCAAAAGAGCTTGAAAACATTATTGGTATCTATTTAAGGATGGGGCTTGTTAAAATGCTATCCATTAGATCGTATTGGGAAACATATATGAGCTACGATGGAGTGAGCTCTGTTTTGTCACGAAATCGTTTCTGGACTATCTTGCGTAATTTGCATTTTGTTGATAATATAAACATAACACAGGAAACTAAGGATGGTGATCGTATTTGGAAGTTGCGTCTTAGAAATTTTTTTGAAGGTATCACCAGAAGAATTTCATAGTGTGGATGAAATCATGATTGCTTTTAAAGGAAGGTCTTTAATAAAACAATATCTACCAAAAAAACCAATCAAATGGGGATTTAAACTTTGGGGTAGAAGTGGATTTAGTGGATTTCTTTATGATTTTGATGTTTACTAGGGTAAAGAATTTGGAATCGAGTAAAGCATCAACCTATGGAGTTGGTGCATCTGTAGTCCTCAATATGTCATCCAGTTTACCATCTGGTCATAACTTTAAAGTATTTGCAGACTTTTTACATCGCTAACTCTGTTGGATGTACTCAAAGAGCGAGCAATTTGGTTTGTAGGCACTATTCGTACAAACCGTTTGAACAAGTGTCCATTTCTGTGTGAAAAAAATTTATGTAAAGAAGGCCGTGGAAGCTATGATTATCGAACTGACTTATATTCTTATTTAATTTTGGTGCGATGGTATGATAATAAAGCTGTCACTCTGGTATCATCATATGTTGGAATCGAACCAGTTTAAACTGTTAAACGATACGACCGAAAGATTAAAAAGTATATTTATGTTCATCAACCCTATATTATTAAGACATACAACAAGTATATGGGTGGAATTGATAAGCTTGATATGATGTGCTCGTTTTACAAAGCTAACCTAAAGTGTCATTGTTGGTATATATACGTTTGGGCGCATACAATAGTGATTGCACTTGTAAATGCATGGTTTCTATACCGTAGAGATTTGAAATTAATAAACCCAAAAGCAAAGCATATGCCCCTAAAAAAGTTTCAAGCAGAGGTGACAACAAGTTTAATAAAGGCACAGAAACGTAAGGTTGGCAGACGATCTCTTGAAACTATGAAATCACCAAAGGCTAAAAGATCTGTAGTCCAAGGCAACTCAACACAAGATGTAAGACAGGATGGAGTAAACCATCTACAAGCGTACACTAAGAAAAGACAGCGATGTAAAAAATGCCCTGCTGGGTTTTCATACATTCAATGCCAAAAATGTAACGTATGGCTTTGTATGCAAAGAGAACAAAACTGTTTCAAGGATATTTATGTATAAGTACTGACACTACCAATTAAGAAATAAAAACATTTCAAAACTTCTTTTACCCTTAAAAGCCCATTGTAGCAGATACGATACAATTTAAAAAAGTTCATTGCCGAAAAAAATTTTCAAAAAAAATTTTGTTTTTGTATTTTGCAACCCAAAACATATATTTACACAGATAATAATAATTTTTTTTTAAAGTTAAGCTTGGGTGGGCTCTAAAGGGTTATTATCATACAATAGTTTGGTGTCCAGGTAAAGCAGTTTAATGATTTACTTTATGAACAACAATTTTAAGGCTATACTAATCTCATTTGTCCTTTGAAGATAGATTTATTGCACAAACAACAGCAGACAGACTTGTAAACATTCTCTTTTTTGCAAGTAAACATGAAGTACTTGCTACCTTCATAAACTTGTAGACATACTGTTCTCTTAAAAACTGCTACAATTTGTCCAATTTAATAAACAACAATCCATTGTTTTTCTATAAACATAATACTCGGACTCTTACAAAACCTTTGCAATATGTTAATTTCCTAATTTTAACATTTACTATAACTATGACAATTCAATATTAATATTATTATTGTTTCTTTTTTTTAGTTTGACAGCTACTTCCAGCCTGTTTTATTAGTATTTTATTGTTTAAACTCTATTTAACTATGATACTTTAAATACAAAACAGTTTAAAAAAAATGTAGGTAATAATAAGAAGTGATAATACTAAACAGTAAAACAACAAATCATATAGTATAAGCATGGTATAATCATTTGATATGACATGATCATGTATTTAATATAGTAAAATACTTTTAAATTTGTCACCTGAAAACTCTTATCTATATAATATTATCTTATATTTATAATATTTAGTATAATTTTGAACAACACCAACTTTCAACTGATTATACTCTACTTTATAGACTATATGAGCAAAGTGCAAGGTGACTTCTGGTCACTTGACAATTAAAGTAAATAAAGTAAAAGTTTTGGTTTTATGTACAATAGCTAAAATGAAAATACAACTCAATTATAAAAGTAAAAAAGGAGTATTCCATGGCAATTTTAATATAAGATATTAAAATTGCCATGGAATTAATCAAAATTAACCTAACTACCAAATAAATTTTGCCGCATTAAAAACACAAAAAACTGTTTGTTTTCAGTAAATCTTTCTCATTAATTATTGTATACTAAAAATAGAGTTGTAAATAGTTAAAATATTAGTATAACAAAACAGGATTCTTTTACTTAAAAGCAATATCATATCATTTGTTGGGTTATTGCCATGTACAAAATCCATGAAACACATAGATTATCATCAGCATACAGCTTCATTATACTTTTGTAATATATTTTCATATATGCATTGATTCAAATTTGACCAGAGGACTAATACTATGCCAGAACGTAGCTCGCTAAACTTTAATAAATTAAACTATGCTTTAATATTACCCTCACTGTGCTTAAAATTATACTACCCTCACAGTGGTTAAAATTATATTAAAATTATACTTTATTATTACCCTCACTGTGCTTAAAATTATACTATGGGTGGTTTTCGCAGAATACATAACATTTTTTCAGACTGGACAGTTATATTTGGATTCACTATTTCATAAAATATTTATTCAAAAGGAAAAATCTTTATTTTGAACACTTTTGCAGATCTTATTTGCTTGAGTACAATGCTTATTTGATTAAGCACAATAACTATTTGCTAGAGTACAATGACCACTACAGTAAAATTAAATTAACATTGCAAGTAATGAAATTTGATAATAAACGTTTTTTATGTCACATTGTCTTATTTATGTCTAAACAGTAATGCACCTTCCAACTTGTTCGTTATAAAATCATCATTAAAATTAAATATGCAGAAACACACTATAAAATACAAGAAAACAAGCTTTCCCAAGAAGCACATGAGGTCGCAAGCCTTGCTTATCCACGATTAAAGTAATTTTTTTAGACAACTTAACTGCATTTTTATACTGTAAGTGGTTTAAGCATTTGCGGCAAATTAGGAAATTATAGCAAATAATAAAGCAATAATCGAAGACTATATGTAATAGAAAATCTAAATAAGATAAGTTTAAAAAATGGAATATTAAAAAAAATTGTAATATTAAAATTGTTATCAAAAAAATAATATACCTAAACATTTTACTGTTTTTGTTTTCTTATTAATAGGGCGTTTGTTATTTTCCACTACCAAAATTAATACAAGTCGAGAAAAAAACGGATAAGAATTTAACGAGAATAAAAATATTTTTGAAATACAATGTTTTGAAACTTTTTTTTTATGTTAGTATATTATGTAAACACTTTATAATTTGCGCTAGAAACATGGACAATTTTTAGATTTGTTTTTCAAATGTTTTTACTGTTTAATGTTTCTATCAATGCACAGGAAAGCGAGAAAACTAATTAAAATATATTTTAAAAAATAAAAATTTTTTAACAAGTTTTATATGTAAGAAACTTGTTAAAAAATTCATTGATACTGATATTTAAATATGAAATATTTGGTTGTTTATAATACCCTCATCGAAATAGCCTGTACTTTTGTAGGATTATCCAAATCGTACAAACCCAATAGTTTATTTCCTAATGAATTATTATTATTGATGATGTACTAAAAGCTTATAGGCTAGTGTATTGTTAATTTACGGAACTTTTTAAACGAAATGTTTAGGAGTCTATTTAAATCTTTTCTTTAAGTATTTTAAATACATTTTTTAAACAGAGATATCATTGTGTTCACTATCTCTAATAATTTTTATTTACATTGGAAATTGGGCATTATAAAAGAAACAATTTGAGACATGCATCAAATGCGGTAAATACATTTATTAAAGAAACCATGTTTTTCTTTTAATTAACTTATTCCGTCATTACGAAAATTATTAAATTACTTTACAAGTGATTAACAATTTATTTTCTTATTTTCCTATTATATAAGTATCGAAAAAAAAACGTCAAATATAGCAAAAACATTTTTAAAAGCGAAAAGACGTACAAAAGAAAAAACGTACAAAAGAAAAATAATTTAACAAAATTTTTTTTCCTGTTCTAGCTTACATAGCAAACTAAATTCTTAAATATATGGGCTGATAAAAATTGTGAATAAATTGCACATTAAAACTTTTAATTGTTGCTAAATCGCTGTAAAAGATAATGGTTTTTTCAACAATAACTCTAAGAAAAGAATACAAAAGTTGTATAAAAACTTTATAAAATTTTATTTTTTTTAATTATTAAATTCTCTAAATTAATTATACTTGATATTTTGTTACAATTTTTATTTTTAATTTTTTAGAATTGTTTTTTTTTTCTTACTAGATATATTTAGCTTTTTGGTGCGAGTAATTGAAACGCTTTATAAACTAAAAGATGCAAACTGTCGTAGTAGTTGCAAACTGTCGTTGTAAAATTACTTTAAACGTGGATGAAGAAGGCTTTTACTTTAAAAATTTAAATCTGGTTTTCACATACTATATATAATTCAATTTTTAAATTGTTTTTATTATAAAACAAACTATGTTTTTGTATTTATGACATGGTACTGGGACTACTGTGCATAGTAAGAAATATGACTCTAGGTTTAACCGGTGATCCAAGCATGGTATGAGTTTTCTCAGCAGACGTAGCACCATAGGCAAACACAGAACAATTATAACCACTTAACAAACTGTCAATGACTGGTTTGGTAGTGAATTCAAATATATCATTGTTTGTACTTTTTTCATCAAACATGCGGTCAAAAAAAAATTGAAGATCTCGAATTCGCTTCTCAAACAATGAAGTTCTGTTTTTGTTTTTAATGTTAAAAATATCATATTTTTTAGGATCAAACACGTTAACATATATTCGTTTGTTACTTTTATAATATTATTTCTTTTAATAAATTAATTCTTTTATATTAGGAGGACGAACACGAACTACAACTTGAACATTACTTGATTTTTCTCGGTAAACATTTTCTCTTTTAGCAGCTGTTACATTAAAACAGCGAGCAGACATTGCCATATTTATTGTACAAGCCTATATGAATCAATATGGAAACATAACTTAATAGAACCATTATACATATCTAAATCTACACTCACACGCAGACACAAACACACACACACACACATACATAGGGGATGCAAAGTTCCAAAAAGGGCTCTGGTTTTGAATTATCATTTGTCCCTGGTTGCAGGTATCCAATTGCAACAAAAACATTGAAAGACTTATGTAACACATTGAGAAAAAAATGCAAAAAGTCGTAAAATCTATACTTGTTAATAACAAACAATGGATATATATATATATATATATATATATATGTATATATATATATATATATATATATATATATATATATATATATATATATATAAATATATACAGTGAATCCAAAAATTATTGGCCCACCCTGGCATAACTACTTTATTTTTGCTGGCATATAAGAACTATAGGAGAGAATTACTAAGTGTTAGTATCATTGTGTCGTCTGTTATCACTAGTATATATACAACAAGTTTCAGCTTTTCAATTACTTTCGTTCTTGTTTTATTGAGAAAACAGTATAAGTTTGTTCAAATATTATGTACAAAAATTATTGGCCAAGAGAAAAGATAAAAAATTTTGTCCATCGCGAAACAGGTATTTCATCGAATCTAGTATCGTGTTGGGTAACCTTTCATCTTGATGCATTCTTGTAAACTACTTGGTACTGAATAAACAAGTTTCTGGAGAACAGACAACTCGACGTTATTCCATTCGTTCTTCAAGAGGTCTCCAAGTTCGTAGATATTTTTCGGCTTGTGTTTCTTCATCCTCCGGTCGATCTCATCCCATAGATGTTCTATGGAATTGAGATCAGGCGAGGATGAAGGCCAAGCTAATGTTTGAATATTGTTTTGTTTGAGCCAATCGTTGACTAGACCTGATGTATACTTGGGATCATTATCGTGCACCACCATGCTTGACCGTAGCCACAGTACAATGTGGATCGAATTCTTTCTTGGGTGTTCTTTATACCATTACTTTCCCATCAGACCCGAACAAATTAAATTTCGATTTATCGGACCAAATGACAGTTTCCCAAAACCTTATCAGCTTGTTCAACATTGTTTTTGCGTATTTCAGTCGTTTAACTCGATTGATTTTGTTGACTAATGGTTTCTTTCGTGCTAAACGACCATAAAGTCCAGCTTCGTGAAGTCTATTTCAAATGATATTGGCGTGTAATGATATTCCTAGTTCGGTCTCGACCTCGATCTTTGAAGATCGAGGTGAAAATCATTGGCAGATTTACGTCGATCGGACTTAACTTTGTCTTTTTGTCCAATGTTTCGGTTGTTTTCCTTTTTCGACCACGTCCGAATAAATTACGGATACTTTTTGTCTGTTTGTATTTCTTAATTATGTATCATACTGTCTCTCGAGGAAGTAATAACTTAGCAGCAATTTCTCGTTGAGAATCACCGTTTTGATAGTGCTGAATTAATAAAGCTCGAAGGTCATTACTATGTTATTTCTTTTTAGGTGCCATTTTAGTAAATTATCATTTAGTGAAGAAATCCGCAAGTATTTATACTATGATTAGTGGTTCTCGATATAGCGTCGACACAATTCGATAACATTCTGAAAAAAACACGAAAGCTCTAGAACTTTTAGGAAGTATTATTTTCTTTTCTTTTCTCTGGGCCAATAATTATTGTACATATTATTTGAAAAAACATATACTGTTTTCTCAATAAAACAAGAACGAAAGTAATCGAAAAGCTGAAACTTGTTGTATATATACTTGTGATAACAGACGACACGATGATACTAACATTTAGTAATTCTCTCCTATAGTTCTTATATGCCAGCAAAAATAAAGTAGTTATGCAAAGTTGGGCCAATAATTTTTGAACTCACTGTATATACATATATATATATATATATATATATATATATATATATATATATATATATACATATATATATATATATATATATATATATATATATACATAAATATATATATATATATATATATATATATATATATATATATATATATATATATATATATATATATATATATATATATATATATATATATATAATATATATATATATATATATATATGTATATATACATACATGCAAAGGCTATTCAAGACCCTTTCCGAAAGCCCGACCGTATAGACGGGTTGGAATTGTTTTGATTTTGTCTGTTGATGAACGCATGTGAAACTCTTGGCAGTCAAAACAAATCGTTATTGGTTAATTATTTGCTGGACTTCGTATGAAACTTCTGAAGATGTGATCAAAATCTTCGTAATGCAGAATGTTAAACTGTAGTGATCAATTAGATTAATAAAAGAAATTAACATTAGCAAACAAGGAAACGTTACCGGACCCGTATTTAATCGATAAACTTTGTTGGAGTTTAGATTTGACAAAAATCTTAAATATATCTTGGGGTGATGTTTATAACTATCTAATCAACTCTTCAAGTGAATGCACTCATGAGTGCATTCACTTGAAGAGTTATAACTTTTACGTGTTTTAAGAGTTATAACTTTTACGTAAGAGCTTATAACTTTTACGTGAGTGGACACGTTATTGATATTTATTACTATGAAGTTGCGAAGAATTGTGAATTCTGTTTTTTAAAAACAAAGATGCACAAACTTTATTTTATTCAAAACTTTATCATAAGAATTCTTTTTATTAAATGCGCAATAAAATAGAAAAAAAAAACCAACGAGGATGTGTTGTTTAAATACATATTTCATAATTGATATTATTTTAACTACGCATAAAAGATTATTTTTTTTATTTGTTGGTTCTTCCTAGCCAAAGACAAGGACAGAACAAAAAAATCTTCAAAGTCTGGGTTGTTCTTCATAAAAAAATGGATATGTTTTAACTGGCAATTGTAACTGCATGGTAGGGTAGGCATTAAATTAATTATTTAAAACAGATACATGCGTACACACACATATAAACATATATAAAAATATAATTATATACACAGATATATATGTATATATAATTATATATAAAATTACAAATATTTATAATATTTTATATGTAAATATTATTTACTACAATATTCGCAATAAATATAATTATTTACTTATATACCTGCACGACAGGGTAGGCATTAAATTAATAATTTAAAACACACACACACACACGCGCGCACACAAACACTTATATATATGTGTGTGTGTGTGTGTGTGTGTGTGTGTGTGTGTGTGTGTGTGTGTGTGTGTGTGTGTGTGTGTGTGTGTGTGTGTGTGTACGTTTAGTATATAATTATTTATAATATTATAATATTTTATATGTATATATTAAGTGCATGTATATATTAGATATAAATATTATTTACTGCAATATACTTTGTGCCATGCATAGATAAAATACATCATACGACATATTAAAATTTTTTATTTCATTTGTTTTTGTATTAATTTTTTTTTTATAGTCTGGGATCTGCATGAAGCCATTTGGCTGCATTGTTATTTAAAATTGAGGCATACATTTGAACTGAAGCCAATAAGACTGCTAATACTAGTAAACTGTGTCAATGGAACCATGTAGAAAGAAAGGCTGAAGCATCATTATTGCAAAATATATCCTTTAATAGACCAAAACGTCATGATTTACCATGTGAAATAAGATCAGCTACAAATACTGTAAAAAATTAATTTGCAATTAAGAAGTATGTACAAAAACGTTATGCCTAAAGCAGCCTATTTTAATTATGTAAATGTCTTAGAAAAATCTTATAGTACTGACGGTACATTGACATCTGATGAGACAAGAAAATCTATGTCCAGAACCTTTAACAAGTCTGTTTGATTCTTATTTAAAAGAGAGATATTTTTTAAAATAAAAAGAATATAAATTAACTTACACCTCAAGTTCATTTGATTTTTTATCCGAAATTACTAAACTGCAAAGTTTATCCAGTACATGGCAATTTCACAGAGCAGGGAGAATTACAGCCTCTAATTTTTCTGAAGGTATGCATTTCAAATATAACAACTCAAGTAACTCATTGCTTAATAAACTAATGTGTTATACAAATGCACCTAATGCACCTTCCCTAACTTATGGCAAAGAAATGGAATGTAAAGCTAGGAAAATGTTTATATCTTATTTAATTTTTAATAAGATATAAACATTTGAATATATGTATATAATATTTAAGTTTATTTAAAATATAATATTGTTTTTTTTTTACTTACTTTATGTTTTAAAAGATGTGGAAACTTCTTTTCACGCTTTTATTTCAACAATTTTTTTGGACGGCTGGTGAGATTTTAAGTTAAAATCTCACCAGCCGTCCAAAAAATTTTTTGGAGGTTTGGGATTTTAAGATAAGGCTGCCGATTTTAAGAAAAATCCAGACCAAGAAATATTTCGAGCATGCGTTTTTCACATGTTTCTAACCTGCAAAAAACGTGATTTTAAACTAAAGATGTCTGCTTTTTAAAATTTTTCTGATGCTTAAAATGTTTATAGTATTTAAACTTATTTTATATTATTTAAAATGGTTGGTTAGAGATTTTTACTGACTTTATATACATATATTAATTACATATGATAAATATTACATATATAAAATGTATGAATAATTGATTGATTAATAATTCCATTTATATCCAATATGCTTATTATTTTTTGGATATCAAGTCAGTAAAAATCTCTAACCAACTTTTTGCTAGCTATCTTGTAAACAACCTTGAGCTAGAATGCTTAAAATAGCTGAATGCTTAAAATAATTTTATCTTGAAAGTTAAAAAAAAAAGAGCATAAAAATTTATTTGTTATAGATGTTTACATACTATTATATAGATATTTATTAGATAGATATATTGTTTGAAAGATATCATATGAGCAGTAATGTAGATTTCAGGTAAAGAAAGTATATCTAGGAATCTTTTGAATTAGTTATAACACCTTTCACTATATGCATTTGAAATATCCAAACCAATCGATATTTTATTTGTTTTTAGAAGATTAATCCTAATTAAATTAAAAGCCAATCCAAGTATAAAATTTACATTTGATTGCTTTTCTTATTATTTAATGAGTTTATAACTGATGTTTGAAATATATTAGTGTAACTTTTATTAAGAATCATACAAAAGAACAGATGATTTGTCGTCAGGTAATAAATAACAAATGTTTACAAATCTTTAAAATGACTTACAATTTATGAAATGTTACTTATCTTTAGATGTAGAAAATGTTACAAGAGCTGCGTAAGTTCAATATATTGATTTTACTTTTTTTTCCTTTTTTTTTCCAAGTGCACAGTAACTTTTTTATAAATTTTAATGTGTCCTGTTTAGAGCAACGTGTAAAGCAACTGGAAAACAAAAAAGTTTATATGAATTCTTTTTATTTTTGTTATATGTTAAACCCTGTGTTTTATTTTTGTTATATGTTAAACCCTGTATTAAACGTATTGTGTATTAATTTAACATTTACTTAAATTGGATTCCTCAACGAATAAATCGTATTATTAGCGATTATATAAATTATATATTAGTGAATTATACTGGTATTCTTAAATACCAGTATAATTCATTCAAAGTCCGTTACTTAATTTATAACAGTTACTTTTTTGTATGATATAATTTTTTTATAGTTTGTTTTTAATAGCCACATCTACTGGTTCGGAATCAACGAATGGTAATAATGTAATTATTTTGAATTTAATACTCTTTATAATTTTTTACATGTTTAAAATTACTTTTCTTGAACGTTAGATATCTCTTTTGAATCATACAAACGTTTCAGGAGACGCCATCACGGACCTACATCCTTTAACTCGTATAGGAAGTGGGTTGCCAATGGTGGTGTTGATGACTTAAATTTCAATTCGAGGGGTACCAATAGGTGTAGTAAAGAAAGGGGTAGGGATGGCTACAAATATTTCAACTTCATATGCAAATAGAAATCAATGTTGTCGTTACGACAATTTCTAGTTAAAATTTTTAAGTTTATTATAAGTCTAAATGCAAGAAATATTATTACAAATTATTTACAAAATAGATTAACCATAACAACAAATTTTATATAAATTATTATGTAAAATATAGGTAGATGGAAAGTTACACAAGCAATGCTATTAGAAATTAGTAATGGAATGATAATAAATAAAAAGTTATTAAAATGAACCTTTTTTGCTATTTACTTTGATTTTGAACCATTATTTGTAAAGTTTTATTGTATTTTTTATTTGTACTTTTGTAATTATTTGTATTATTTTTGATTTTGCATATATAAAATTTTGTTCGTTTCTGTTTGTTTTTATTGCTTTTAGTAATTTATATTATCTTTATTGGAAATAAATTTAGTCATAAAAATTACTACGCATGTTATACCCTGCGTATTTTGAAAATACTTTCTAAATTTCCTCCAGGAAGTTTAGAAAATACTTCTGCAAATATTGAGAGGAAATCTACAATAAAATAGTTGACATTTATTTTTGTAAAGTCACTAAACTGGCATTAAGTATCTAAAAAATTAATAATAAAAAGGTCATTACTTTTTCTAAAGAATAGTAATGTAGTTCTACATTACTTATTCTATATAATAGTAGTGTTCAGGCCCGGATTAAGATCTATAGTGCCCATAGGCACTATAGTAAAAAATACACCATATGTAAAAAATTTGGTGATTTTCTGGGATGATTGTATAACTAATACACTTGTGGAACAAACAAATCTTTATAGTGTTCAGAAAAATGGAAAATCTATAAACACAAATAAGGATGAAATAGAGAAGTTTCTTGGTATGCACATGATGATGTCAATAATACTATTACTTGCTTACCACATGTATTGGGCAAAGGAAACTAGATATGCCCCAATAGCTGATGCCATGTCAAGAAATCGATATAAACAACTACGCCACTTTTTGCATGCAAATGACAATACAAATAAAGATGATGTTGCTAATAAAAACAATAAACTGTTTAAGGTGCAACCAATTCTTGATGGTGCGAGGAAAAATTGTATACTTATTGAACATGAGGAAAAACAGAGTATAGATGAACAAATAATTCCTGCTAAAACCAAATTTAGTGGCATACGTCAATACAATGCAAACAAGCCAATAAAATGGGGGTTGAAAAATTTTGTTAGAGCCGGTGCATCTGGTATGATGTATGACTTTTTTTTGTATTCTGGAGCATGTGGAATTATAAAATGTAATGGGGAATATGTTGTTAGAAAGCTTTGCGAAACGCTTTCAAAAAATGTTAATCGTAAACTGTTTTTTGACAATTGGTTTACATCTTTAAATCTGTGTTTGAAGCTAAAAATTGATGGAATTTTAACCACAGCAACAATTAGATCAAACAGAATAAAAAAATGTCCACTCTCAACAGAGAAAGAATTTTAAAAAAAAAGCGTGGCAGCAGTTGCTATTTCACAGATGTCAATTCAGGGTTGGTTTTGGTGAGATGGTTTGACAACAAATGTGTTCAACTAGTTTTAACATTCTCTTCCCCCATTTCGTTATCAAATGTCAAAAGGTGGAATCGAAAAAATAAATCCAATGTCAGCGTTTCCTTTCCTGAAATTGTAAAGGAGTATAACAAGTCTATGGGAGGAGTTGACTTAGCTGACATGCTAATATCCCTTTATCGCACCCCAAAAAAAACAAAGAGGTGGTATTTGAAGGTGATATTTCATTGTGTAGATATTAGTAAAGTTAATGGATGGCTTCTTTATCGTCGTTATGCTAGCCAATTAAATTTACCCCAAAAAAGTCAGTATTCACTCTTAAAATTTATTTCCAGTGTTGCTGAAGCTCTTATATCTGCTGGAAAAGAATTACCTTCAAGGTCAGTTGGCAGACCATCAAAGAGATCGATTGATGCTGATGAAAGTGCAAGTAAACGTGGTTGTAAACCTTTAGTACCAAACCCTTGTGTGGACGTTTGTTTTGATAGCATAGATCATTGGCCAAAGTGTAAAGAATCAAAAAACAGATGTCGATTCTGCAAGACTGGATTTAGTCGGGTATATTGTACAAAATGCAAAATAGCTCTTTGCCTGACTCAGAACAAAAATTGTTTCTATGGGTTTCACAAAAAATAACTTCTTCGTGTATTTAGAGTGGTAAAATTACATCACCTATTATTTATTAGAAATAATGTATGTAGCCAGCAATATTTTTGCTATTTTTGTGTTTTTCTAATATGTATAAGCAATATGTTTTAATTTGGTTACTATAAACTCACTAAATTTAACTTTTTTTGCTTATAAACTATATCGGTACTGCCTCTGCATAGTCAAACCTATCATGCTATAAGCTTAATCTAAGAGGTGTTCTCTAATTATGTTAATGACATAATGAAGGTTTTTCATCAATATGGTATTCTATATACAATTATGAAAAAGTAATATATTGAAAAAAAAATTTTTTTTTAAAATGTATTTTACTATGGAAGGCCAATGTTGCCAAATGGCAACAATTGTTTTTAGGAACTTGCTGACGTCAGCAAAAAAAACTTTATATTTTCTAATAATTTGACCCATAACTGTTGTGAAAAGTCAATTTCATAATTCGGCCCTTAAAGGGTTAAAACATTAACTATACTTTAAGGAAAATGAGCTATAAGTAGAAATTTTAATTTTAGTTTACTTTTATTGGTTAAAATTCAATTAATATTTTGTATGCATTTGTTTTCTTTTATAACTGATATAATAAGTTATAATTTATGATTCTCAAATGATAATATTCTATAATCAAGTTAAACTTTACTAAATTATAAGATTTAGAAATAATATAGTGTTTATTAAATGTGGAAGTTAAAAATAAAAAAGCATGATTTAGTTTTATAAATTAAACTAAACTAAAATATGTTCTACTGAACGTTTAAAATGATTTCACTGAGTGAGTCGCTGTAAATTACAGTGAGATTTTGGGTTTTCCAGTAAATTCTAATCACTGTTCCAAGTGTCACTGTAAATTTACATAAATTATATAAACTACACTCTAATTTAAAACAAGTATAAATTACACAGTACTTTATAATTTATGTAAATTACAGTGAGATTTAGGATCGCCCGGTTATAAAATAAAAGTATAATTCATTTGTACACAATAAAAGGAATTTTTTTTCTGATTGAAAATTTTCATAAATTATTGAACTCTCATTCAATTAGACATATAGGTCTTATATCCATTATAGTTCAACCATAAACTATGCCATAATATAATTTATGCTGTTCATTAATATTGTATAAATGATCTGTCAAAGTTCTTATTATTGCAAAAATGATAATCAAATTTTATTATAAATTGTGCTGTAACTTGCTTAATAGAATTTTACAGTTATATGATTATATTGTTGTTCAGTTATTGTGCGTTGCTACCTAAAACACTTATAATCTAATAGAATATGTGATCAAAGTATAAGAGTCACATGATAATCAAATTAAAATTTTTATATAAGTATTAAAAAAAGATTCGTATCATAGATTTAATGATCTAGTTACACAAAAAAACTATACAGAATCAGCAAGTATAATGTTTCTATTAAAATGGGTTCATAAAAAAGTATACTATTAGAATATTATGCATAATATATATATATATATATATATATATATATATATATATATATATATATATATATATATATATATATATATATATAACTAAATAAAATATATAACTTCTCTTTTTTTCTTATTTTTTAAATATGATTGTTTTTTGGTTTATGCAGTTATTCTATTATCTCTATTCAGAACGTATATACTATGAGAGGCATTTTAGTCTTTTTAAAGAGGTTACAATGTTTTTTATCCAACTATATTATGCAGCAATTGAACTTAATGAATAAACAATTTTCCTATGATACTAAACTTTGCATGTAGTTTAATTTGCTTTTTCTTCAGTATTGCTGTAAAGTTTTTGTCTTCATTCAGATTTAATTCATCGTTTAATTTTTCGAACCTGCTGCAACTAAAGTCAAAAAAAAAAAAACAGTATTTTTTTTATGCTCACAAAATTCATTACCTTTCTTAGAAAAATAGATAAAAAAAGTTAATGTTCAGGTTATAAGGTTTTTTTTTTTTTTTTTTTTAAATTTATTTAGGTGCCCCAAGAAGTCCTTACGGTCTTATCACAGAGCACCGCGGATTATAAGGTTAACTAGATACTTTTAGGTAAAAAATATTTTGTAAAATGAGTGATTAATATAAATTTGTAGTTCAAAATATAACTAAAAACTCCAACAAATAATTTTTTATTCAACAAAATATTATTTTATCTGAGTATCTAAGATTTTATTTTATATCTGAGTAATCTGGGTAATTTAATACTGACTAATTAATTATTAATTTAATCATTTCTGATTAAGTATTTTAATCATTTTTTTACCTGATTTATATTGAAATTTTTTGTTATTTCAAATTTAAAGTCATTTTTTGTTGCAGAATCAATTCAAGAAATAAATTCAAGTCCGCTTTCTTCTTAAAACATGTGTTACATGCTAAATAAAGTAATATAAACAAATTATTTTCTGTTTTGGATCACAAAACATAAGTATAAAAATGACAAATTGAACTAAATTTTGTTCTGATTTGATTAATTTCAATAAATTAAAGCAGATTTAAAAAACATCTATTGTTGACAATTTTCTACTTTTCTATTAAATCCTCATTTAAACCTAACTAAAAATTAACTTTAAATAAAAATTAAAAAATTTCAAAGTTAACTAAACTCATATGCAACTGGGTGGAAACTAGTATAGTTACTGCAAACATTCATGTGTTTGTTTGTTTATTTATATATATATATATATATATATATATATATATATATATATATATATATATATATATATATATATATATATATATATATATACATATATATAATATCTATATTGTAGTAATGTTTAATTATGTTGCAATAGTATATATATACATATATAAATATATATATATATATATATATATACATACTTACATATATATATATATATATATATATATATATATATATATATATATATATATATATATATATATATATATATATATATATAATATCTATATTGGAGTAACGTTTAAGTATGTTTGCTTTATTATATGTGTGTATATATATATATATATATATATATATATATATATATATATATATATATATATATATATATATATATATATATAAATAAATAAGGGCTGTTGTGTATTTTTTTTTCCTTAGTTAAACTCACAAGCTTTTAAAATAAAATCTCTAATCAAGGGTTAAACAAGATCTTTTTTTGTACCATTGGTCTGGTATGAGTACCCAAAAAAAAAAACAAGCCCAAATAATATTTATTTATTTTTTTATTATTTTTTTTTAAAATAGAAAAAAAAAAGTTTTATTTCAAATGCAGTAGTACATAACTAGTTTTCTTTTTATTTTAACTAGTTTATTTGCCAGTTATGTTTAAAATTAGGGGTTGCAGCTTCAACATCCCCAAATAAACTCTAGGTTTATTATTGTTAATTTGCAATAGCAACCTGCCATGCATGTTTCTTTAGTTATACTTAGTTGAAAGTAAAAAATATAGCTATGGATAAAAGAGAATTCGAGTTAAATCAATAACCAGAAGCAAGATTAGCAAAAGAAAACGGTATGTTTGATTTCTATTCATTTCATATTTTTCATGTAAAGTACTCATCTTAATTCGAAATAATTGTTGTTGTTTTATTTAAACAACCACCACTTTAATTTTAAAAAATTTTAAATCATCAATTTTAAAAATTTTAAAAAATTTAAAAAAAAAAAAAAAAGAAATTAAATCATTCCAATGGGAAGATTTAATTTAAAATAAGTAAAAAAAGTAATCTGTTAAAAGATTTTGGGAAAGACATGATAAAATAGTTATAATTGTTTAAATCTATAATAAAAAATACATGCGAACATAAAAAAATTTAAGTATATATTTAAATCACCATAACTAATTTTTCATTTTATTTAAAGCCTTCGCATGTAATAAAAATTTAAGTAATGGAATGGAATGATTTTGGAATGCTATATGCAGACTTGAACAGAAATGGCGTGCAATCGCACACCATTCCTGTCCAAGCCTGTATATAACAGTATCTGCAGTGATATTGAGACGTGGAAAGGAAAATAGACTTTTTGAGTAATTGTTAACGCAATTGACGTATAACGAAAAGGTATTTATTTGCTGTAATGGATTGCTGGAAAGTGACAAATTCCATGTATAATTATGGAAGTTACTAGAAACGTGGAGGTTCGTAGAAATGTTTTTTTTTTTAGTTTAAGTTTGTTGCATGTTGTACGCTATTTAGTTAATTGCTTGATTTTAGTGGTTGAGTAAGGCAGATTTTGAGCTTTACAGTGACATAGTGTTGATATTATATTTCGTT